CCGGAGGTCGAGGAGGACGCCACCCTCGCTTCCCCGGGAGGTTTAGGAGGTCGAGGAGGACGCCACAAGGTCTAGGAGGTCGAGGAGGACGCCACCCAGGTCCAGTAGATCCAGCAGAATCGTTCTAATTGGTTGGAACGCGATTTTCACAATGCTTTAATGGAGTTACTCGCCTCCCCGGAGGTCGAGGAGGACGCCACCCTCGCTTCCCCGGTTTAGGAGGTCGAGGAGGACGCCACACAGGTCCAGTAGGTCCAGCAGAATCGTTCTAATTGGTTGGAACGCGATTTTCACAATGCTTTAATGGAGTCACTCGCCTCCCCGGAGGTCGAGGAGGACGCCACCCTCGCTTCCCCGATTTAGGAGGTCGAGGAGGACGACCCAGTAGTTCCAGCAGAATCGTTCTAATTGGTTGGAACGCGATTTTCACAATGCTTTAATGGAGTTACTCGCCTCCCCGGAGGTCGAGGAGGACGGTTTGAGGTGGAAGAGATCCCCGCGGCCGCCGAGGAGGAGGACCTGGGAGAGGCTGTTCGCATGCCTGTCTAGGACGCAGAAGTGTGTTCGATCGACCTCGAGTCGTTCGTCTTCCCCGTCGGGAGCTTCCGGTATGGCGGCGCGAGGAGCGGGAGAGCGACGCCGAAGAAGAAGGTCCCTGTGTCCTGCCAGGAAGAGGACGGCTTCTCGGTCGACCTCGACTCGATCGCTCTTCGTGGCGAGACGAAGGGAAGGAGGAAGGGGAAGAAGAAGCGCGCATTATGATGATGCGCTGAAGCTGAGGGCGAAGCAGGACCGGCGCCAGACGTTCCCCGCCGGTGAGACCTGGCGCGCCTTCCCTCGACACCTCCTGCGGGAGGACAAGGAAGGGAAGAGGAGGACGACCTTCTCCTCAAGGAAGTCGTCCGAGGGGCATCGGGCGAAGCTCGCGCTTTGGTCCGTTTTCTGTAAAAAAAAATAATAATTTAGAAAGAACATACAATATACATAAATATATATATATATATATATATATATATATATATATATATATATATATATATATATATATATATATATATATATATGTATATATATATATATATATATATATATATATATATTATATATATATATATATATATATATATATATATATATATATATATATATATATATATATATATATATATATATATATATATATAGCACACATCTCAGCCGTTATCTCCAGCGGGCTGCCGTCGTCGCCTCCTTCAGAAGGAAATTCTCTCTCTCTCATTTCTCTTTCATTCTTTATCTCTTCCTTTCTCTCTCTCTCTCTCTCTCTCTCTCTTCTCTCTCTCTCTCTCTCTCTCTCTCTCTCTCTCTCTCTCTCTCTCTCTCTCTCTCTCTCTCTCTCTCTCTCTTCTCTCTCTCTCTCTCTCTCTCTCTCTTCTCTCTTCCTCTCCCTCTCCCTCTCCCTCTCCTCCCTCTCCCTCTCTCTCCTCTCCCTCTCCCTCCCTCCCTCCCTCCCTCTCCCTCTCCTCCTCCCTCTCCCTCTCCCTCCTCCTCCTCCCTCCTTGCCTCCCTCCTCCTTGCTCCCTCCCTCCTTGCCTCCCTCCTCCTTGCTCCTCCTCATCCTTGCCTCCTCTTTTCCCTCCCTTCCTTTTTCCCTCCCTCCCTCACAATCCTTTAATGGAGTTACTCGCCTCCGGAGGTCGAGGAGGACGCCAGCTTCCGTTCGCGAGGAGGACGCCACCCTCGCTTCCCCGAAGGAGGACGCCACCCTCGCTTCCCCGGTTTAGGAGGTCGAGGAGGACGCCACACAGGTCCAGTAGGTCAGCAGAATCGTTTCTAATTGGTTGGAACGCGATTTTCACAATGCTTTAATGGAGTTACTCGCCTCCCCGGAGGTCGAGGAGGACGCCACCCTCGCTTCCCGGTTTAGGAGTCGAGGGAGGACGCCAGGTCCAGTAGATCCAGCAGAATCGTTCTAATTGGTTGGAACGCGATTTTCACAATGCTTTAATGGAGTCACTCGCCTCCCCGGAGGTCGAGGAGGACGCCACCCTCGCTTCCCGGTTTAGGGAGGTCGAGGAGGACGCCACACAGGTCCAGTAGTCCAGCAGAATCGTTCTAATTGGTTGGAACGCGATTTTCACAATGCTTTAATGGAGTTACTCGCCTCCCCGGAGGTCGAGGAGGACGCCACCCCGGTTGAGGTGGAAGAGATCCCCGCGGCCGCCGAGGAGGAGGACCTGGGAGAGGCTGTTCGCATGCCTGTCTAGGACGCAGAAGTGTGTTCGATCGACCTCGAGTCGTTCGTCTTCCCCGTCGGGAGCTTCCGGTATGGCGGCGCGAGGAGCGGAGAGGACGACGCCGAAGAAGAAGGTCCCTGTGTCCTGCCAGGAAGAGGACGGCTTCTCGGTCGACCTCGACTCGATCGCTCTTCGTGGCGAGACGAAGGGAAGGAGGAAGGGGAAGAAGAAGCGCGCATTATGATGATGCGCTGAAGCTGAGGGCGAAGCAGGACCGGCGCCAGACGTTCCCCGCCGGTGAGACCTGGCGCGCCTTCCCTCGACACCTCCTGCGGGAGGACAAGGAAGGGAAGAGGAGGACGACCTTCTCCTCAAGGAAGTCGTCCGAGGGGCATCGGGCGAAGCTCGCGCTTTGGTCCGTTTTCTGTAAAAAATAATAATAATAATAATTTTAGAAAGAACATNAGAGAAGCAGAGAGAGAGAGAGAGAGAGAAGAGAGAGGAGAGAGCGAGCAGCAGAGAGAGAGAGAGGAGAGAGGAGAGAGATGAGAGAGAGAGAGAGAGAGAGAGATGAGAGAGAGCAGATGAGAGAGGAGAGCAGAGAGAGCAGAGAGAGAGAGAGAGACGAGAGAGAGAGAGAGAGAGACGAGAGAGAGAGAGACGAGAGAGAGAGAGCGAATGAGAGAGAGAGAGAGAGGAGAGAGAGGAGAGAGAGACTTTGTTCGCTTGTTGTTTAGCAATTGAATGGCTAAACAACAAGCGAACAATCTTTTCGGCCATTTCTGTCTCCTTATCGATGTTTTTTGCCGTCTCTTTCTGTCTGTCTGTCTGTTTGTCTCTCTCTCTGTCTCTCCATCCACCTGTCTGTCAAATCTCTCTCTCTCTCTCTCTCTCTCTCTCTCTCTCTCTCTCTCTCTCTCTCTCTCTCTCTCCCTCCTCTCTCTCTCTCTCCTTTTTCCTGTTGCTTACTTCTCCTCTCGATCTTTAATGATCAACTTTGAAGAGCTTTGGTTTCTTCTTTTTTTCTTTCTTATTCTTTCCTTTTCTCTTCTTTTTTTGCTTCTCAGCTTTTTATTGCTCCTCGTAAACCACTATCTCCTTTTTACAGGTCATTTGTCTTTTGTTTCGCTCTGCTAACCCTTTCGCTGAGGGCCAAGATGCCTCGAACGGGTCGCGGGGAAGCGCTGAGGTCTTTTTTTTTTTCTTTTTTTTTTTGGTGCATTTCTTTGCAATGTTTGCAGTACGCATTGCTTTAATTCGGAAGGCTTGAATGGAGGTCGAGGAAGACGCCACCCTCGCTTCCCCGGTTCAGGAGATCGAGGAGGACGCCACCCTCGCTTCCCCGGTTCAGGAGCGTCGAGGAGCGACGCCACCTCGCTTCCCCGGTTCAGGAGATCGAGGAAGACGCCACCCTCGCTTCCCCGGTTCAGGAGGTCGAGGAGGACGCCACCCTCGCTTCCCGGTTCAGGAGGTCGAGGAGGACGCCCACCCTCGCTTCCCGGTTCAGGAGGTCGAGGTCGCAGGAGGACGCCACCCTCGCTTCCCCCGGTTCAGGAGGTCGAGGAAGACGCCACCCTCGCTTCCCCGGTTCAGGAGGTCGAGGAGGACGCCACCCTCGCTTCCCCGGTTCAGGAGATCGAGGAAGACGCCACCCTCGCTTCCCCGGTTCAGGAGGTCGAGGAGGACGCCACCCTCGCTTTCCCCGGTTCAGGAGGTCGAGTGAGGACGCCACCCTCGCTTCCCCGGTTCAGCGAGGTCGAGGAGGACGCCACCCTCGCTTCCCCGGTTCAGGACCGACTTTTTCCCACGGTCGTTTCGGATACCGCGATGGACACATACAAGGTCGGTGTAGGTGATTTGTTAGGTTTATTATTATTATTATTATTAAATTTATTATTATTATTATTATTATTATTATTAGATTTATTATTTAATATTATTTAATATTATTATTATTATTATTTATAATTATTATTATTAGATTTATTAGGTGATTCATGTTGACAAATGTGGAAAGGTATGAATGAGAACGAATATCTTCACAATACAAGAGATGTATTTAACCGGTTTCGATTACATCTTCGTCAGAAATACATGAATTTCTGACGAAGACGTAATCGAAACCGGTTATTAAATACATCTCTTGTATTGTGAAGATATTCGTTCTCATTCGTACCTTTCCAATTACAAGGTCGGTACAGGTGCTTCCGTGGACCTTGGATACATGTAGACGCGGGTACGTGTCCGATACGTGCAAGAGGGCGAGGTCCAGGTAGAGAGAGAGAGAGTGATGATGATAATGAGATGGATAATGAGGTTGGTAATGAGATAGAATGATGATGATATCAGAGGAGGATGGTAGAATAGGGGGATGACGATAAAGTAGGAGGAGAGTGAAATAATTGGATGATGACGGAATAGAGGATAATACGAAGATAAAGATAAAGGTGAAGGAAGGGACGTGATGATTAAGTGTGATTAGGGAATAATTTGAAGAATCACAACGAAAGGAATTGATAAGAAGAAAAGATATGCGGATCATATCAATAACTTTTTATTAATAAGAAAAGAGAAGGAGAAAGAAAACAAAGAAAACCGGATAAGAAAGAAAGAGATTGAGGAAGGGGCCGGATGAATATTCACTGGAAAGAAAGAAAGAAGAACATGAAAATAAAAGAATTGAGGGAAGGCCGGATAAATATTCACTGGAAAGAAAAGAGAAAGAGAAAAACAAGGAAAAGAATTGTGGACTCCCATATTGTATTTCATATATTTATATATATA